CTATGGGCTACTGCTCAACAGGGAGAATCCACTAAAAATGTTATTATACATTTATTAGAGACTTTTACAGTTATGGGAATTCCTTCTAAAATCAAAACAGATAATGGACCTGCTTATACTAACAGAACATTTAAACAATTTTGTGATCTCCATAATATTATTCATATTACAGGGATTAAATATAACCCCCAGGGTCAAGCTATTGTTAAAAGAGCACATGGCACTCTTAAGTTGCAAATTAAAAAATTAAAAAGGAGGAGTCAGGAGGATATTCAGATACCAATACTGTTTAAATTGCAAAACAGTCCAAAAACATTACTGCATCAAGCATTGTTTATTTTAAATTTTCTCAATTTACCACAAGGTGAAATATTAACAAGAGCTGAAAAACATTTTGAACAGCAACAACAGCCTTTTGTGATTAATGAACCTATTTGGACTAAAACAGCTCCAGAGGCTGAATGGGAGAGGGGCACATTGCTCTATAGGGGGAAAGGTTTTGGTTATATCTCCACAGAAAATGGAATTCAGCAGTGGGTCCCTGGACGATGGATCAGGACCCGCGTCTCCAGATCCTGTTCACCAGCCCCGGAGACAACTCCCCAAGGAACCGGAACCGTGCCTTCAAAAGCGAGCGCAAAACCAGCTAGAAGCTGAGGATGCTGAGTTTGTTCCTATCGCAGCCATGGCCAGATTACAGCTAAGAAAATCCCGCCGCTCACAGCGACCAAATTTAAATCCCCTCCCTACATGGGGACAATTAAAAAAATTGACCATAGAAGGGCAACGGCTTGTCCTTCAAGCAGGAAAGCCTTTAAACCCCGAAAACTTGTTTTTAGCTTTATGTGCCTTGCTCACCGTTGCATCGGGGACTGAGGTACCTCCGCATTCGTACTGGGCATATATTCCAAACCCCCCTTTATTAGAACCTGTAAAATGGGGAACTAGTGATATTTTACTTTATACCACACCTAGAAAAATTTTGTCAGCACCGTGGGCTGATTTAACCCCCCACAATCAAGATGATGGGACACTATTCAATTTTACTTATTATGGTAATCAAAGGCCTATTTGCATTGGGGAACCGCCTTGCATCCCTCTGGGATGGCAGTATTGGATTCAACATGAAATAAAAGCAGACAACAAAAGGACAAGGCTTCAAGCCTTGGCTGCTCAAACCTTTAATGTTACCTGGAAAAATTTAACAGCACCTGATACAAATACATTTCCTGTATGCCCTGAATTCACTTATAAAAATATTTCTTATAATCCCATAATTTGGCAACTATGTATGGGAAAATTTGCTAAAAATATTGATGGGTATATTATTTGGGGACCATTTGGAAAATTCGTTAATGGATGTGCTAAATGAAATGAGACAAGATGTAATCTCTCTGTTGTGTATAGTCTTCCAGATCCAAAGAAAATAACTGACGGAGCTCCTATATTTCAACAAAAGACGGCTCTCTTGTGGTGGGGAGATGGTGGAATCGCTAACCCTGCTGTTGCAGCCGAAAAATACCCTCATCACCTTCAAAATCATATTTGGAAGATCCCAGCCGCTATGCAACCTGTAACCTTGTACAATGTTTCATATTCAGGGACTAGTCGATCTGTATCTACTACTTATAATTTTACTAGGTTTAAAATGTATAATATTACTGTTTGTGCACCTCTACCTTATGTCTTTTTAGTGGGAACTTTTAATTTTACACATTTTTCTTGTACTTGTTTAAATTGTCAATTGTTTACATGCTTAAATAGCACACTAAATTTCACTAAGCCTTATACAGTTATGCTGTTACAACAAAAAACTCATATTTGGTTGCCTGTAAATTTAACTCGACCTTGGTCTCAAGACCCGGTAATTTCTGTTACTACTGAATTTTTTAAACATCTGTTAAAACGTACAAAAAGATTTATTAGAATAGTGGTTGCTGTACTGTTAAGTCTGATAACTATAGCCTCTCTAGCAGCAGTCTCAAGAGTAGCTTTACATACCTCTTTGCAAGAAAAACATGTTGTCGAATTATGGCATGAGAATTCTCATGAACTTTGGTTAACTCAGTGGCAAATAAACGCCAGACTACAACAACAAATAGACCTCCTTAAACAAACAGTTAAATGGATGGGTAAAAAAATATTGGCTCTTCAGCATCAAGTGTTTTTAAAATGTGATTAGAATTCAACTACTTTCTGTATAACCCAACGACCTTATAATCAGACAGAACTTAAATGGGAAATGATTAAAATATATTTAAATGGAAACACCTCTGCCCAGGAGAAAATAGAATCTTTGCATAATCAAATTGACAAGGATTTTGCAAAGCAAAATGATGATAAATCTCTAGCACAATTCGCGCAATTGCTTGCTCAATCTTTAAAAGGATTAGATTCCAAAGGAATCTGGCAGAGCATTACCCACACTTTTAGTGGCATGGGACTTAGTTTAATTATAGTTCTCATTGCCATAGTTCTTGTGTATTTTTACTGCATAAGACGAAATGCTATTAATAACCTGATCTTATGGAAATTGTTGTTAAAAAATAAAAAGGAAGGAAGTGTGGGGGATGAGGTGTCACTTTGTAGGCCCAACCCCCTCTAACCTGCAATTTACAATAGCCGCCCTGGTATGCGAGAAGGAGGTAGAACGGGAATGCCTGTTCTCAGTGAGCCCTCACCCTCTGGAATCCATACTGTGAGCTGGCTTTGTTTTGCAGAAGTCTTGAGGAAGTGGCTGGCCACCCTTTGTGACACTAACAGCAGACAAATTAACAACATTCTTGAGCTAATGAATTTCTTCCTGGGCTAGAGAAGTTGTGAGAACTGGTTGTGATTATTTACTTCACTTAGATAGTTTTAAAATAAACATTGTAGTCTGTCACGTTGTAGCTTGCCACAAAGAATGCCTTTTCACTACTTAATTATCTGGGCTCTGTGAATTGATCGGGTTTACTATATATGAATCCTAAAATAAAGATTGTGCGTACAGTGCAGTGCAGTGCAGTGTAACGCGGTGCAGACAGCAAAGGTGTCTCTCCTGTCTTTCTTTTCCAAGCGCTGTACCCCCCGTGTCCCGACAAGGCGTGCGTGTTTACCTTGCCCGGAGTTCAGAGTGCTCTAGACACTCACGACAGCTGGCATTGAACTCAAAGTGATCCTCTAGCCTCAGCCTCCCAAAGCCTGGGATTATAGCAATGTGTCATCATACTCAGCTCCAAAACCAAAATAAAGGTCAGATAATAGGAATCAGGAATAGGTCATTTACAAGTGGGAAAGGGAATAATAGATGGAGGAGGAAGAGTAAAGTTAAGATGTGTTATGTACATGTATGGACTCCCCATGATGAACGGAATCACTGTGTACTGCACATGTATAATCAATGTTTTTTTTTTTTAATGATTGGTTTAGCCAGGCATGGTGGAGCATGCCTGTAATTTCCGCACTTGGGAGGCTGAAGCAGGAGGATTGGCCACTATTTGAGGCCTTCTTGGGCACATTGTGAATGCAAGTCCACCCTGAACTGCATAATGAGACTCTTGTCTCAAAAAACCAGGGTTGGTTTATTGGGTAAATCTTCCACTTCCAAAACTTTAAATTAGCCAGATGTGGTGGTACATGCCTGAAATGCTATCACTCAGGAGGCTGAGGCAGGAGGATCATTGGGAGTTAATGGCAGCCTGAGCTACATAGTGAGGCCCTCTCTCAAACAAATAAACAGAAAAAAAATCGCAATTTTGAGTTAATTTTTAACTTACAGAAAAGTGGTAAAAATAGTCCAAAGTTACTATATACCTCTGCCCAATTTCCCCTAATATTAATACTTTATATAATCCTATCGTAATTTTCAAAATCAACACTTGAGCAGTCAGCAGCCAGGAATCAGCATTGCTGTGACTCTAGGGCCTAAGCCTCAGATCTTACTTGAATTTTATATTTTTTACTGTTTGTTTTTTCTGTTCCAGGATCCTATTTAGGGTCCCATGTTGCCTGTAGTGTTATTTTTTCCCCTTGGTCTCCCATCTGTTTCTCAATCTTTCTGTCTCTCGTGACTAACATTTTTAACGAGTACTGGTACTTGTGGAATATCTTTGATGTTTTCTCACGATTGGAGTGAGGTTGTGTACTGGTGAGCAGAATGCAGCAGATGCAGTGTTTTGTTCTAACGCATCACACCTGTGGAGGATCTGTGGAGGACCACTTGGATGACTCCTTGCAAGCAGAGCCATCGTCTCCATTCTGGCCCTATTTCATTCTGGCCCATGTATTAATATGTACAGAGCTGGCTAGGACCTTTCCTTATCCCTTTAGTTGGCTTTCAGCAGTGCAAATCAGTCTAGCTGAGCCAGGCAGTGGGTTAGTATTACCCAGCCCTGGAAGCTCCCTCAAAAAACTGAGCTGGTGCAGGGCAGGAGGGGGAGTCAAGCTCCACGCTGTGGGCTGGAATCAGCCTCGAGGTGAGAGGCTATGACTTCCCAGGTCATAACCGATTGCACGTCAGAGCTGAAGCCCCAACCCCAAAACGTTAGATGCTACCTGGAACTGTGTCCACAGCTCACTCTGTCTGCAAATCTTTCCCTGCGTATTGCGGAGGTGACTTCAAGCCACCTATCTAGCCCAGCTACAGCACTTACTGGCACTTCTCAGGAGCCACTCCCCTCATCAAGAATTAATGAAGCCTGGGTTTGGCCCTGGGTTGAGACATTGAGCTGGTTAACAATCATCCTAGTTGGACTTACGACCCCTGACTCTCCCCACAACTACAGATAGGCCTTAATGTCTTTATTCTCACTGTGTGTCGCACTGGAAGTGGTAGATTGGAATCAGCTTGCTAGGATTCCAGTAACTTTCCTTTGGGATGACAAATATAAACTCCCCGGACACAAAGAGATCCGAGAAGAGCTCTCTGTAGAGATCCATGGTGTCACTGTCCCTGTTCCTCATAATGTTGACCCTCACAGTGAAGTACGTACTTTCTCAGGTTTTTTTTTTTTTTTTTTTTTTTTTTTCCCCCCGGTACTGGCAGTCGAATTCATGACCTTGCGCTTGCCAGCCAAGTGTTTATGCCCCTGAGCTAAGTCCCTGGCCCCAACTCCTTCTCTTTGTGGCTAAGAAATATCACAGGGAACATTTGTACCATCCCCATCTTTTGTTTGGTCTTTTTGAGACAGAGTTTTGCTATGCAGTTCAGGCTGGCCTTAGGCACACTTTGTAGCTCAGGCTGGTCTTGAACTTGCAAGGATCCTCCTGCCTCAGCCTCCTGAGTTCTGGGATTACAGGCATGTGACACCACGCCCGGCTGTACCCTTAAAGTGTAAATATTAAATGTGGTAAAGCATAGAACTTTCTAGAGCATGGTGTGTAGTGAGTGCTTGAAATTGTGTCGCCTTTTCATCGTCGCCATGCTCACGCCTCTGTTCCCTGTGCTCCTTCTCTGTGGCTTGGTACTTCCCTTGTTTCTTCATTGTCTTCCTCTGACATGCTCCACCCCAGCGGGGTGCTTCCTCACATCACGCTTGGCTGGCCATTCAGAATAGTTGTGGCCCTAAGTTTGCCAGAGAGCAATGTGATGCCTCTCAGCACACTGGAGTCAGGGTGGAGGCAGAGCTGCTGGGACTCAGGGGCTGAGACAAGGCCACACTAACAGAATCCTGGAAGGGTTCCTGTGTGCAAGGTGTGTCTGCTTTAAGGTGCCCTTGGGAGGCCCTGTTGGCCCACATCGCTGGGGGGCAGAATGGAGAAGGACCCCCCTGGCGGAGCCCTCGGTGTGGTTCCCCCGAGGGTGGGCTGGGTTGCTGCACCAAGCAACCTTTCAGAGCTCCCACAGGGAAGCCTGGGCTGGGAGGAGAGCACCACGGCTGCTGTGGGATGCTCTGCGCCCGTGAGTTGGGGGCATAGAGCTGAGCCCCGCTGTTTCCGCAGCCAGCGTCCCTTGTCGCCGGGTGCCTGGGCACTGCTACTGGGCCCCTTCTTGCTTTATTTACAGGATGGCTGTTCTTGGCAGCTCTCTCCACCTCCCAGACTTTTCCTCTGCTTTGGAGCATTTGACTCTATTTTTACTCAGAAAGAGGAAAGCTCCCCTGTTTGAAAATAGCTGTCATGGAGAGGACCTCTGTACCCACTGCTCTTGCTTGCTTGGCAGTGGTCCTGTGTACACTGTGCACAGGGCACAGGCAGGATGCACAAGCACAGCCTGTGACATGTCCCCCCCACCATATCTGGGAAGTAAAAGCCCCTCTTCCTGGATTGTGACCGAATGGGGATGACGGAGCTGTAGCTGGCTCCCTCCCTTGGAGAAGCTTCTGGGCTGTAGGAGGTAAGGAGAAGAGTTCCACATGGATGGCGGCCGGAGGCTGGGAGAGCCACGGAGGCAGCCTCTCCATCCCGATCCGTGTCACCCCCGTCTTCCCAGCCACCGTGAGCCTTCTTTCTCTGACGTTCTGCCACTATCCAGAGGCGGGTTCCTTGGTCCTGACGCAGACCGTCAAACCAGCTCCTTCGCTGAATTCCAGGTGCAGCCCAGGTGTTGCTGCCCCCAGTTTCCTACGAGAGACCAGTTTAGGTCTGTGACAGCTCTTGCTGCAGGGAGCTGGGAAAGAGGGTTGATGCCCTTGTCTTGAGGCAAAGAATGTAAGTGGGGAGATGCAGGGAGCAGGGGGTGTCCTTCCTTTCTCCCGGGGTGTGTCCAGAGCAGGTCTGGAGACTCTCGGGTGAAAAGATGCAGCACCTCGGTCAGGGTTAAGTTTGTAGGTGTTGGCGCTGGCAACATGTGAAAACCCCAACAAAGGAAAAGGAAAGTGTGTTTGTGTGTGACATGCAGTTCCTTGGTGGGCTGGGAAAACCAAGAGAGGGCGTGCTGAGCTGTGTGGCCAGCCTGGGCGGGGTGCGCCCTCGAGGTAGAGCTTCAAATCCGGGCAGCGGGAACCCTGGCTGTGAGGGAGAGATGGATGCCGCCTGCCACCAAGCATTCTCCTTGTGCGCTGGGGCCCTGGCCGTGCAGCTGCTGGGGCCGGAACTGCCGGTAACCTCTGGTTTTCATAATCGACATGAGCACCCCTGAAACGCGCCTGGTGTTGGTGAGGCTGGGGGAATCGGGGCCCCCCAGATGGCCATGTGGCAGGTACTGTGCCAACGAGGAGGGAAGGGTATATCCTGGGACATGGGACCCACCGGTCTGGGGCCACATCTCCTCTTTATTTTACAGGTGGAGAGCTCAGCCTGAGTTCTCCCAGCTATCAGGTGGGGAGCTAGGATTTGTAACTGGGGGTAAATGAGTAAGGTGGGTAACTTGTTGCCGGGGCCTTGAAAGCGGTGGCGGTGGAAGGGAGATGGGGAATGACATTAAGGGAGATGGGGTGTCATAGCTTGTGTTTAGATATCACCCCCCAAGCCTCATGCAGTCTTGGTGGGATGTTTTCAGAGCTAGCTGTGTCTACAGTGTGTGACGCTGGATTAAGGAAGTGTGATTACTAAATCAGTCCAGTGCGTGGTTTGGCACTGCCCTAACCCCAGGAGCTTAGACAGAGTATAAAAGGGGCAGAAGAAAATTGCTAAGTGTCCTTGTTGCTTGGCTACCTTTGGCCAGCCATGAACTGTTCTCTTCTGTGATGCCGCTGGGCCGTGTGCCACCCTGTCTTGGAGCCAGCCAGTTATGGACTGAAACCTCTATAAACTGTGAGCTAAATAAACTTCTTCTCCTTTAACTTTTGGTATTGGGTATTTTGTCTCAGCAATGAAAAAGGAACTAAGACATAGGATTTCTTCTAGGAATGATCAAAATGTCCAAAAGTTCACCATGGCGATGGTTGACCCTCTGTGATTATACTGAAAACCACTGAAATGTATACTTTAAATAGGTGAATTATATGGTATGTAAATTATATCTCAATAAAGTTGTATTGAAAATACAAATTTCATTGAATCTAAAAACAAAGTTAGGGCTGTGTCTTGGTTGCTTTGCTCTTGTTTAGACAAAATAGCTGACACTCAAAATGAAGGAAGGGAAGGTTTATTTATATCTTAGTTTTTGGAGGTTTCAGCCCATAATCAGCTGGCTCCAATGCAGGGTGGCTGGCTAAGGGGCAACACTTCAAAGGAGCAGCCAGAGCAAAAGGGAAAGGGAACAAGATCTTCTCCTGGTTTATATTGTACACAGCTCCCCTCTTCCTCCACAGGGGTGTAGCACTCATAAACTCTCCTTGCCCTGGAGGATGAGGATATTTACAAAGAAGAACCCTGGCTCCCTGCTGAGTCTCTCAGTTAACTACTCAAGTTGACACAATGTATCAACCGTAACAGACTGGGAATATAGCTCAGCAGAATGGTGCTTGCCTGGGAAGCATGAGGTCATGAGTTCAATTCCCAGTATTTAAATGAAAACGATAATAAAAATAAAGTGAACAGAGGGTCTCTATTCCAAACCTCATGATAAGGAAAAGGGATGCCTGTCACACTCGCATTTGTGCCCCACCCAAGAGGAGCTCAAGAGGTACAGTGGTTGTAGAACAGAACTGAGCAGTATTAATGTTTGTAAAGGAAGCATGTGAGTGAATACATAAGGGTTTAGATTTTAGCTAACGAGGCAGACTGATTAAATTTGAATTGAGTCCTTGTCTTCTTCCCGTTTACCTGTGAAAGCTTCACAATAGCTGGATATTTTCTGTTGTGCTCAGCTCCATATCCTGTCTGTAGGGGAGCTGAGTAGGTAGTCACTGAATGAATTCAAGCAACAGGGTCATGTCTGTTTAAGAAAGCAAAGTTAGAGTGATGAACTATTTCTCCAGAGCGGGGAAGAGGGAGGAAAGTGCTTATTCCATGTTGCTGTTTTATCAGATCCTTTTTGCTTGTGCCATTCCAGTTATTTACAAGAACCCAAACTGCCTGTGCAGGGTAAACTGAGGCTTAGCCATGGGTCACTTATGTCCAGGAGTTCCTAAGTTAGCCATCGTGGCACACACTTACAGTGCCAGCACTTGGAGGCTGAGGCAGGAGGATTACAAGTGTGAGCTTACAATTTAGTGAGACTACTACACAGCTGAGTGAGGCCTTGCCTCAAAATAGAAATAAAACGCTCTGGGGATGCAGCTCAGTGCAAAGGGCCCGGGATTCAGTATACATTACTAAAGGTGTGTGTGTGTGTGTGTGTGTGTGTGTGTGTGTATGTGTGGTACTTCCTGAATGAGCTCTTGGCCATTCATCCAGCTGCCAGCTGACCTGCTTTTAGCTTTGCTGCCCACCCAGGTCCTGCATTTGCAGTTCACTTTGAGACCCGAATCCAGGACTGTGATCTGTCTACTGATCTGCCCTGCCCAGTGTCCCTGCCAGTCCGTGTGGACTGGAAATTATTTTAGAAGCCAGTTTGCTTCTTGGAGCCTCTCCCTGTCTACTCTTCATGGCTTGTTTCTAACCAATAAGATACAGCACAAATAATGGGCTGTCTCCTCCACGATTAGGTTATAAATGACCTTGGCTTCTGTCTCAGCAGCTCTTCTGCTTTGGTGACTGTCATGGAGCAGGGAGCCATGTTGGGGAGGCCTACGTGAACTAGCAAAAGAGGCCTTCAACCCCTGACCGGCGCAGCCCCCCAATGAGACAGAGGACGCTCTTGTGGGTAACAGGTAACTGCCCACTTTATTGTTGTGGGTTCTGGCTTATATATCTGACTGTGGCCAATCAGGTTGACACGAGGGCTGCCACAAGGAGGCAGGGCTGGAATGAGACGCGGGCTCTGGCTAATATACCCAGCTGTGGTCAATCAGGGTTTGCCACAGAGTCAGCATGGGGCGAATACGGAGTGAGCACGGGGTGGCTAATTTGGAGAAGGACGTAGTGCATTGCGGAAGCTGGCGTGGTCCTTAGTCCTGGGTGGGGTATGTTGAGCGCCTGCGCCCGACAAACCCCCAAGGCCTGAAAGAATCAAATCCTGCCAGCCCCCTGAGGGCCTCGGGAGCCACTTCCTCCCCAGGTGCTCGGTCCTTCAGATGAGACTGCAGATGACCCTGAGCCAACCACTTGACCAAAGGAAGAGGACTCACCTGTGCTGCTCCTGGATTCCTAACTCCGGGAAACTGAGAGGCACATGTATGTTGTTTGAAAACAGAAATGTCCGGAGAATTTGTTACTGAGTGTGAGATAATGATATTCTGTGTACTGCTTTGTATTTTTATCAGGATGTGACCAGATTATGAAGCTAGTAAAGTGGAAGCCTTAGGGTTCTCTGCTTCGTGAGACCCTTGCATAACCCCGGGAGAGTTCCTGTATGAGTTCACAGTCTTCTTTTTGTAGATTTTATCCAAAATACTTTAACTGCAATCAGTTAAGCCTGGTGGTGCCTCTAACTACTCAGCTTCGTCTGCCTTGAGGCCAGTGCTGTGAAAACAGCTGAGTCAGAAAGGCTGTTAGCAGGACAAAAGGGTGTCCGTCCGGGTGGCTCAAGGTAACTTATGCGTAAAGCCACGCGGTTGCTGGCAAAGGTCAAGGCTGGGACTTGGCAGTTATGACTTGATCCCAGGTTCATCTCATTCTGATCCCATGAATCCAGCCCTTGACTAGGTTAGTTTTCATGTTTCTGGGGATCCCAGAAAACACATGAGTTCTTGAAATTGTACATTTCCTATATGAGAAGACCTTGATAATTTTCCCCATATTTGAAAAAAAAAGGTCTAATATATAAAATAAAGCTGGGTGTGGTGGGACATGCCTGTAATCCTAGCACTTGGGAGGCTGAGACAATATTTGACACCCACAGGTTAAAGGACAAGAGGTTTATTTTGGCTCACAGTTTGCGGAAGTTTCAGTCCACAGCCAGCTGCCTCCCAGGGAGGGCGGGGTGGGAGAGGTGGGTGGCAGAGAAGGAGCCGACAGAGGTCAGGCAGGGCGGGGTGGGGGGCGTGTAAGCAGAAGCGTGCAGAACCAGACCCACAGGTGGCAGTCACAGTCAGAGACACCTTTTTGTTGTTATTGTCGTTGTTATTTATTTGTTTTTTGAGACAGGGCCTGGGTCTGTTGCCAGGCTGGACTTGAGCTTGTGGAGATCCTCCAGCCTCATCGTCCCGAGTGCTGGCATTATAAGCGAGTGACACCTGGCCATGTCTCCTCTTAAACACCTGTCCAATAGTGGCCTTTTATACAGGATGCTGATGTTAGAATTTCCTCTGTTGCTGGGCATGGTGTCACAGCACTCTGGAGGCTGAGGCAGGAGGATCATTGCAAGTTCAAGACCAGCCTGGGCTACAAAGTGAGCTCAAGGCAGCCTGAACTGCATAGTGAGACCCTGTCTCAAAAAGAAAAAAAAAGAATTTCCTCTGTCAACACCAAGATACTGGAGTGGCTCTAGCCCTGACTGGAGGGGCTGGCCCTGGATACTAGGTCTGCACTGGGGCAGCTGAAGCGTGGGGTACAGACCTCACAGGAGTCTAGTGCAGCTTACCTGAACCAGGGAGTGGAGCCCAGGGTCTTGTTGGGGCAGAGCAGGGGGCTTTGGAGCTTTGAAGCAGGAAGCTGGGGTGGACAATGTGTGGGGCTAAAAGAAGCAAATGCTAGACTTAGGAATGCTGATAGAGTCGCCAGGTGGCACTGGCTGGGTCATCTTGGTGGTGATACAAGTCTTTCTGGTACTTAGAAGGCTTTCCAGTCATTCATTTCCTGTCATCTATGAGTAATCATATCCAAATATCTCATAATATCTCATTTAAACTTAACTAAAAAATTTGAAATCTGTTCCTGACCTCTTTAACGTGATCTTTGTAGTTGTTAGCTCTTATACTTACGCTGCCTGAGAAATATTAACCTTTCGGAAAAACTTGGGCTCTCAATCTTGTTGTTTGTTTGTTGAAACAAGCTCTTGCTACATTGTCTAGGCTGGCCTCTGATTTGTGATCCTCCTGACTGAGCCTCTCAAGTCTGGGACCACGGGAGGTGACACCATGCCTGCCAGGGTCTTGATCTTGCTTCCTGTCCGTCTCAATGTTGATTATGGATCACAGGCTAAGAGAACCTCTTTTAGCAGGGTTATATTCGACTATTTAAACAACAGTAACTTTGCATTATGGGGTTGTAACATGTAAAAGTAGGTGGGGGTAGCTTAGTACAAGAGTGTTTACTTAATGTGCTTGAAGCTCTTGAGTTTGATTCCCAGACCTACATACAAATAAAGAAAGAAAGAAATGTAAAACACATGAAAACAGCGACATAAAGGTCAGGAGAGGAGAAATGAAACCACAGTAATACCTCAGTTCACAGATGCTTCTGTTTACAAACAATTCAGTTTGCAAACAAAAGTGTTCGGTAAAATTCTGTTTAAAAACTCCACGTCAGGTGACAAACTCAAAGATGACCATCTTCCTCACATAAATACAAATGCAGCCATCATCCCCCAAATCATAAAACAAAGTAAGTTCATAAGCTGAGGTACTACTGTATACTGTTATAAAGTTCTTAATGGGTATAAAGTTACTAAGAGATAGAAAAGTTACAGACACATACTATGAACCCTGGCAACCACTACAGTGAAAAAAGAGGCCAGGTGTGGCAGTGCGCACCTGTAACCCCAGCACTCGCTGTAATTTGAGCCCAGCCTGGGCTGCAGAGTGAATTCAAGGTCAGCCCAGACTCATAGTGAGACTCTGAAGAAGAAAGAAAGAAAATCAGCTGTGCTTCCCAGAGAAGCAGATTTAACGCAAGATACACAAATACAGTTCATAAGAATTCACAAGATTGGCTTACCGTGCTCGGATCCAAGGACCCAGTCAGAGCGCCCGTCTGCATCCATCCTGCGTCAGGGAGCCAAGGGGTCTGCACTGGAAGCCGGGAGACGACATACCAACCCTTTGGTAAGTGTCACTCGCACCCAGGCTGGGTCTTCTGTCTTCAGTAAATCCCTTCAGCGCTCCCAGAACTGTGCTGACCCAATGTACTTGGGTGTTTCTTACTCACGTCGACCAGAAGTTAACCATCAGAAGAAAGGACAAGGAAGAAGCAAGCAAGCAAGAGGAGAGCTTAGAGCTAATAAGCCAATAAAGAGAAAAAATTAAATAATAAAATACGCTTGTTGAGCTTGGGGATGTCTAGACGTCCCCCAAGCTCATTCCGTCATAGTGGGGCTGGATCTAAGCGTGTGTGGTACTAAGTTAGTCCCCTGACTGATTGGCTTGGCACAGTTCTGGTTGTGGATAAAGCAAAGGCCCGCCCTCGTGGTGGGCGGCACTACCCAAGGAGTAAGGAGCGGGAGCCTGGATGGGTAGAAAGGGACAGAAAGAGGGCAGCTGGCTGCTGTGTTGCGATTTTGCTGCTTGCCGCCACAAACTGTTAATCTTCTGTGATGCGACCTTGACTTGGGGCCAGCCCACAATGGACTAAAACCTCTGCACACTGTGAGCTAAGTAAACCTTTAACGGGGGCTGGGGATTTAGCTCAGCGGCATAAGAACCTGCCTTGCAAGCAGGCGGTGGTGAGTTTGATCCCTCGTACTGATAAGAAGTTTAAAAAATAAATAAATAAATAAACCTTTAATGTTGGGTGTTGGGTATTTTTTCTCAGCAATGAGAGAAAAGTAACTAAGACAATGCTCAAACTATGAGTAGCCTGAAAAAGAAGGAAAAAAAGAATATACAAGACAAATAGAAAACAACAAGATGATTGGCTTAAACCTAACCATGTCAGAAATCATATTTAATGAAAATGGTTTAAACATCCCTCTTAAAAGGCAAAGAGGTACTAAGGGGTTAGCTTGGTGGAAGAGAGTTGCCAGAATGCTAGAGGCCTTGGGTTCAATTCCTAACATGCACCCATGCGCAAACAGTGTTAGAATAAAGCAAAACGACTAGAGGCTGCTGTCTGAAGCACACGTAAATATAAAGACACATAAAAGCACAAAGCGTGGGAAAAAATATACATGTGAACTAGTGAAGAGAGGCGTTTGAGTTCCAGCAGATACAGAAGGAAGCCCTTTCCAGAGCAAAGGCAGCGTCTTCTGGGAGCCAAATGGCTGTGAGTTCCACCCAGCCAACAGGAGAAATTAGTAATAAACGTCATCCCACCTTCCATTCGCTCTCCTAAAAGCCCGTCTGTTTGCTGGTAGAAGCTCTTTCTCTTCCTCCCATTCTCCTGAATTGGAAGATAAACCTGTCAGGGAGCCTTTGTATTTGGATGTCCCCACCTGCCACATGTCTTTTCTCTTGCTAATCCGTCTACTGTCAGTTCATCTCTAGCCCCCCACCACCAAAAGAGAAAAATGTTTACTTTCCAACAATCACACTTACCATTTTTCACTGTATTGACATTTGCATTGATGTCCTGCAAAGGCAGTTATGGGAAAAACTATTGGAGCGTAAGCACAAATCACACCACAGCTCTATGGTGTATGCACAGTTGTCACGCTCCTCTCTGTCTGTCTCTGTCTCTGTCTCTGTCTCTCTCTGTGTTGTTGAAGATGAAACCCAGGGCTTATGCCGGTGCTCTGCCACTGAAATGCACCTCCAGGCCTGTCATATTTTTTGGCATCAGACACTCACAGGAAAAGAAAAAAACAACAAAACCTGAGGCTTAAGAGCAACACCAGTGAATCCTGAGCCCCCTCTCCTGCCCCATCATCACTGTGGTCTTCTGTGATGAAGCACAGGTGCACTTACAGCACCTCTGAAGCATCCTTTCCTGCATATTTTGATACAGAGATTGTCCTGGGTGAACGCACTTGTGCAGTTGTTTGAGTTGTGAGCCAAACTAGGTTTTCCCAAGGAATATGATTACTAGGAGAAGGACTGCTAGACAACTGGTGGTTATTTGGACTTGTGGGTTTGATACACATTTTCTTTCTTTCTTTTTTGTCTTTTTCCTTTTTATCGGTACCAGGGATCGAACTCACGACTGCCTGCTTGCAAGGCAGGTGCTTTATGCCGCTGAGCTAAATCCCCAGCCCCGATAGACATTTTCTTAAGAATGAACCAGGTGATTCTGTTGCTTCAAAGGAAGCAATTAACCAAAAATAAATTTTAAGTTTTCCAGGAAAAGTAGAATTCTGGCAACTCACATTCACTAATGTGATTTGATACCATCTTAATTTTTTTTTTTTTGTCTTTTTCCTTTTTATTGATACCGGGGATCAAACCCAGGACTGCTGGCTTGCAAGGCAGGCACTTATGTCGCTGAGCTAAATCCCCAGCCCTTGATACCATCTTAATATGTAAAGATTTTTCTGAAGACATAAGTGGTAACATGAATGGATGTGATATTTTGGCATTGTATAATAAAATGTCAGTATTTAGGTCTGCATAATACAGTGAGTCAGTATTTCCAATCAATATTAAAAAAGCATGCATTGATAAATGATCCATTCAAAGTGCAAGTTAGGTTAATAGATTTTATTGGAGCAGAATGTAGAAAGTTCACTGTTAGATTTCAGATTCCACATAGCAACAAACTTTTAAGAAATATCACTTGAAAGTTTTGGGGTAGCACCAAAGAATAATATCCACAATTATTATCTGAAAAGGCTTTTGCAAAACTTATTCTCAAAAAAAAAAATTCTTCTCTAAGCAGGTAAGGTGGTGCAGCTATGTAATCTCAGAACTCTGGGAAGCTGAAGCAGGAGAATTGTCATTTGTAGCCCAGCCTGGGCAAGTGACTTAGCAAGACCCTCTCTCCAGCCAATCAATCAATCAGTCAGTCAGTCAATCAACCTATCAATGGGCTTGGGATATATCTCAGTTTAAAGACCTTGGTTTTAATTTTCAGTACTATAAGAAAAAACAAAAAACACAATAACAAAAAAAGTGAACAACCAGTGAATTAGTAAACAAAATCCATCTTGCTGGGCATGATGGTGCTTACCTGTAATTCTGGCACTAAGGAGGCTGAAGCAGGAGGATACTGTGAGTTGGAAGCCAGTCTGGACTACACAGTGAGTTCAAGGCCAGCCTGAACTGTGTAGTGAGACCCTGTCTCAAAAACAAACAAAAACAACAAACAACAACAAAAACAAACCCCCCACAAAAACCCAAAACCAAAATGAAAACAAAACAAAACCAAAACTCAAAATCCTGATCTTGTAGAAAAGTGAACACACCATTCTAAAGAACTCTTGGAGTAAATAAATAGAAAATTAAACATTTTTTGCATTATTTAGAAAATTCATGAGAATGAGGAGGAGGTAGGAGATCAGGACCGGAACAAGTGGGTAGGCTTTTTCAGTCATGGAGACCCAGATACACAGAGATTCCAGAGCACAGAATCCAGAGTGACCAGGTGTTCCTGAGCCCTGGTGAGACCCACCAGGAAAGGGCCACCTTCCCTTCATTTACACTTGCCATGAAGCCAGCTGGGCCTTCCAGGGGACAGCTTAACTCAGACACCAGGCCAAGCAAGCTTCTGACAGGACACAGCCCAAGCTCCTATATTTGCCTGAGGGAGAAGCAATCAGGCTGTTACCCCCAGAGCCACTGTGCGTGTGGGAGCATATTTTTTCCAGCTTCAGCAAATATAGACCCTTGCTGCCTTCTCTGTGTGCCTGATCCGATTCTTTGTACAGGGCACTGAGAACCTGGAAGGAATCTCTTTGAGGCTGATCATAAGAATATTTCATACTAAAATTGGTAGCAGTAACCAAAGCACATATTGAAAAATAATGAATAGTCTCAAAGACTTTTCACAAAAGGACAAGAACAATTAAAAACAACTGAATAAAACATCTCAAGAAAGGAGGAAATAAAAAGGTTCTTAGAATAGAAAAAGTCATCTCAGTTTTCTACAAGTTACAAAACATTCCCCACCTCGGACCTCAGTCATAGAGAGTACTTGCTGTATATGAAACAAAAACCCATTTGAATGGTCCACGCCCACTGGTTATTTGGATATTTGGAGACATAAACACTTGGGAGTGGAGTTAACGGGGAGAAGGTGTCAGGTTTTCGGATCTTGGGCCCTGGGCTCTAACCATTCTCTCACTGGAAAGGGTTCAAAGAATTTCTACAGAGATTAAAAACAAAAATCTAGACTTGCCCTACCCACAGAATTACAGTTGAAAGTTTACTGGTTCCCACCATGGAAGAATTTTTAGAACTGGAAAGGCGTAATAGAATTTATTAGGCAGAAAGTCTGTGCCACCTCCACCCCACCCCTGTAGAGCGTAGGCCCAGTTGAGATCTGGAGCTGGGTATATTCATGGACTTGGGGGTGACTTAAGGTAGGTGACATAGGGTGTATATTCCTGTTGTCTGTTAAATTACCCATCTGGCTGTGTCAGAATGCAAACCATGTGCATGTGTTTAAAGTTTAGAGATGCTGTGACTAAAATTGCTATTTGTGAAGGTGGAGGTCTGTAGGAGCAAGTGTAGCTACAGGTGACAAGCACAGGCCCAGGGCTGGGGATTTAGCTCAGTGGCATAAGCACCTGCCTTGTAAGCAGGCGGTCGTGAGTTTAATCCCTGGTACCGATAAAAATGAAAAAGACGGAAAAAAAAAAAAAAAAAAAAGCACAGGCCCCAAGCTCAGTTTATAGGCTTATTGTGTATTTAAGACCCTTAGAGTTTTTTTTTTTTTTTTTTTTGAGTGAATTTCCTGGGAGGGGAAAAGGCTTAAGTCACTTCTGTGCTCTGAAATTGCAGGGCTTTCTTCTTCTTCTTCTTCTTCTTTTTTGTTTTTTAAGGCAAAGTCTTGCTATGTAGTTCAGACTGGCCTTGAATTCACTATGTAGTTCAGGTGGGCCTCAAACTCAAGGTGATCCTCCTGGCTCCACCTCCCAAAGGTTGGGAATACAGGCATTTAGTACAATATCTGGTACAGTTTTTTTTTTTTTCTTTTCCCAAAATGCACATGTTATAATCAAGGTTTGTAAGGAAATAAATTTAATACAGGACACATATGCAATAGGATTATTTTATAATATTCACACAAAGAATCAAATGCAAAATAGTACAATAAGTCTGTCCATGCACGAGAGACCCAAAGAATCTAGCCAAGGGCCTGGATGCCACAGCAATGTCCTCCACGAGTTCAGTTGGAGGCCTAGAGGCCACAACAATGTCTCATGCAAGTCTGTACCAAGGATCTGCACTGGAAGAGGCAAAGGTCTGTGACGGAAGCTAGAAACTCTGCGCCTGCAGGACTAAGGAACTGTGCCAGCAGCCTCAGGATCTGCACCAGCGCAAGGAAGCAACACTCAAGGTAAAAACCAGAACTTCTGAGATAAGAACCAGAGCTTCCCCCTAAAAAACAACCACAGCCATGCTCAGCAGCAGCAAGGACCTGAGCTTCTGTAACGGTGAGAACAGCCGCATTCACATCAGGAAAGCCAGCATGACCAGCTTCTCTAGGAGAATCAACAGCGCACCGTCTTCCCCTCCGGTTCTGTTTTATGTTGCTGGCAACAGTGCTCCGGTGGGCCCTCCAGAACCCAGAACCACACTGATTCAGAGTTGACCATTAGTTAATCCAACACAGCACGATTCCAAAATTCTGATTTTCCTCATCTATTTTCTGCCTGTCTTTTTTCTTCTGTCTTACCTCAGTACTGACCTCCAAGGCCCTGCAGAGGATGACTCCTTTGAATGCCTTGTTCCTGGTCGTGGCAAGAGGCCTATTGTTTTGTGATAGGTGGAGATTGGTAGGCTGTTCCCCAAACCTTGACTAAAAGGTTTAAGGTATCTAGGAATTCCAGAAATCAAGAATCTTTGTGTAGGTGTTCATCCCAGGGAAGGGATGCTCTTGGAAGTGGCCACATTCTGGCCATTACAGATGAAGTAAGGTCAGCAGGTGATAGAACTGTTATTTATCTCACCATGTTCCATCTTTAATGACATGGCATAGAGTGCCATTTTCCATGCTGGCTGCAGAGAAGTCTTTTCACAGTTAAAATTTGAAAAGATCTGAGTCAAGAGCGGTGGCACAAACCTGTAATCCAAGCACTCTGGGAGGCAGAGGCAGGAGGATTGCAAATCTGAACTCAGTTTAGCAACTTGATGAAACCTTGTCTCAAAACAATTTTTTAAAAAGGGGCTGGGGATGCCATTCAGTGTGAAGGCTGTGGGTTTAACCCCTTAGTACAGAAACAGACACACAAGCACTGGAAAATGATCTGGTACCAACCTGTGCCCTCTCATTTTCTCTTGCAGCTGGTGGTGAAAGAAGCGTGCTTCATTCATATCTTTTTGACCCCCTTTCACCACTCCCAGTGCCCGTTCCCACTTTCTCGGGCTGGAGATGCCCGTGTGCCCGTTGGTGTAACAGCGCTCTACGCCGTAGCACAAGAGCTCACCATGTCAGATGAGATGACTTGATGCCGCTCCTCAGATGTCCCCCAGGCATTTCCGGGAATGCCCAGGGTTGGTCCCTGAGAGCTTCGGCACTATCTGCTTTGATTCTTCCATTCAGCCTGAAGAAATTTCTTTTTTTTAAACTTTTTTTTTATCGGTACCAGGGATCGAACTCATGACCACCTGGTTGCAAGGCAGGTACTTATGCCACTGAGCTAAATTGCCAGCCCCTAGCCTGAAGAAATTTCCATGAAGCATGCTGGCACAACAGCAAAGACTGGCTACGGTGACTTTTCTTCCGATAGCTTGTCCTGCGTCGTCAGGATGTGCTTTTGTCTTGCTTTTTCCTCTTCATTCAGCCCCAAGCTCACTCCGCAAAGATAATTTCTCACTCTTCACTTTGCCTTTTCAAATAAATTTGGCTACTGCTAAAAACAAAGCAAAACAAAACAAAACAAAACAAAAGCAAACAAAAAAACAGCAAAGACTATGTGTAGGCCATTTCCCTTTTACCTAGCAACAATTTTCAAGCACAGTGTTCTCAAACCATCCTCAGGCAACATACACACACACTCACACACACACACACACATGCACACACGTGCACACACACGCACACGCGTGCACACACACACAGTGCACACACAACGTTCTCCTGGGGGAGGAGAGATCCCTGAAGAGATTTGACTCTACCAAAGAAGTATAGACACCCTGTTACATTATGATAAGAAACAACTTTGCTAGAGCATTTCCTGCTTAACATTTTCATAATATTAATGAAACTGGCAGGTGGTTTGTCCAAGAATAAAGGGAGAGTCCCAGTCTTCACTTATTGCAAAACAGAAAACTGCTCTCAGCTTTCAAAGGCAGCTTTAATAAGTTTGTTTCTTCAGTCTCTACCATGCTCTGCCTTCTGGAAGGAGCCAGCTCCTCTTAAGCACTTAGTGAGGGTCTGCAAACAGCCTGGGTGCTGGCAGAGAGAGCTCCGTGACTCTCAGCTCGGCTCTAGGGATCCCTGTGCCTGCCCTCTGCACCGCAGGGCCTCTTTTACCCAGAGTAACAACTAGGGGAAGTGCTTTGATGAGATGTGGGTACTTGTGCTCAATCATAATTTATAAAGACAAGGTAGATCTCATCTGTGTGCTGAGTATGGCCTAAGCTAGGAACAAAAATGAACAGGGTGAAATAGGATATTCCACTTTATTCATTGCAAAGGAGCTATCTGGTGATCAGAACTTTAACCATGTGCTCCAAGCTGGTCACTGACAGTGGAACACCTGACCCGTGGATTCTGATGGCATGCCCCACTCAGGATAAAGCATTCCCCCGCCTTTTATGGACTGGGAACCAAATTCAGTGCCTCGCCCTTGCCAGGCAGACGCTGTGCTGCTGAGCTATATCCCTGGCCCAAGGCATCACTTTTGAAATAATTTTTCCAATAATGTTTAATCTGAACCACCCAACCTCTAGTAGACAGGAAACATGAATGATAGAGAAACAAGTTCACCTGCGTCATGCACACCAGCTGAGTCAAGCTGACTGGGTAGAACCTTGGCTGTGTTTACTAGCTGTAAATCCAGGAGTGATCTGGCTTTTCTGGGACTCAGTTTTCTCTCCTGTAAAGTGAGTCTAATTCAAGTTCCTTCCTGAACAGTTCAGATCTGGCCTTGCTGAGTAATGATGCATTGGAATAAGAAATTAAGACATCTGAGTTACAGCTCAGTGGTGGAGCACTTGCCTTAGCGTGCATGAGTTTGATCCCCAGCACCACCAAGAAAGAAAGAAAAACATAAACATGCACAAAAGGCAGTGTGATATTTGTGACATTCTGTAAGAAAAATGACCTGAATTCTTCAGAAAGTCTCTATCTAAAATAAAAGGAAAAAAGTTGGGGGATTGTTCTTTATTAAATGAGACTAAAGAAAAATAACCTAATGCAATATTATTTAAGTCTTAATTTGAATCTAGTTGGAAAAATGAAACAAAACCTATAGAAAAAGATACTTTTGGGAGCAACTTGAATATGAAGTGGATATTAAATGATGTTAGGAAACTGTATTGTTATTGATAGTATTATTGTTCTTCCCTTTTTAATCTAATTTTCATTGAATCCAGTGTTCAAAAATGCTAAGCAAGTGCTCTACTACTGAACTACATCCCTAGCTCTTTTAAAGTTTTATTTTGAGACACCTTCTAAGTCACTCAAATTGGCCTTGGACTTGGAATCCTTTTGCCTCAGCCTCCCAAGTAGCTGGGATTACAGTTGTACAGCACTATACCCGGCTGTAAAAGATGTTCTTGTTTTGGGGAAATGTTTTCTGAAATAATTTGTGGTCAGGTGTCTTGTACAATTCATTGTCAAGTTGTTCAGCAAAATTTCAGAAATCTTAACAAATAATGAATACGAATTAAGTCCTTCCTACTGTCCACTTCAACTTTTTGACACTTTTAGTAAAGATTGAAGACAAATAACATTTTTCCTTCAAATTTTCCTTTTATTCTATGTATAGTCTTCAGTTTATAATAGTTTGGCTTACTTTTTGGACTTCTTGATGGTGTGAAAGTGGCATATTTAGTAGAAACCGTACTCTGGCCCTGTGGGTTGAAGTGGCTGGGTTTGAACTTCTGTTCCTCCTACCTCAGCCTCCCAGGGGGCTGAGCTTACCGGGATGTGCGGACACACCTGGCTTGCTGTTATTATCAAGAGGTACATGCAGCAGTGGCGGGGACCAGTGTTCCAGGCAGCACTGGGGTTACAGTTCTCAGCCTATCTACTTCTACCATTTTTTTTTGTCTTTTTCCTTTTTATCGGTACCAGGGATCGAACTCACGACTGCCTGCTTTCAAGGCAGGCGCTTATGCCGCTGAGCTAAATCCCCAACCCCCTACTTCTACCATTAACCAAGTGACTCTGGCTGAGTCTCCTATAATTTACTTTCTATTACACACCTGTCACTGTGCTCAAGCTTTATTTATTTATTTGTCAGATTTTTTGAGACAAGGTCTCACTGTGTAGTTTAGGTTGGCCTTGAAATATGTAGCTCATGCTGGCCAAACTCACAGTAATCTTTCTGCCTCAGCCTCCCAAGTGATAGGTTACAGGCATGCACCACTGTGCATAACCATCAGAGAAGCCAAGGACCACATAAGCCTTTCCTCAGAGAGCTGCTGATCCAGTTGAGAGACATCTTTCAACAGCTCCCAGTAAAACAAAGAGGAAGAAAATCAGAATCATGGTTCCAGAAAGTTCCATTAATTCTGTCACAGGATTAGGGAGGGGGATTCGTAGAAAAGGCAGTTTTTGCTCCTCAGGATTTTGATAAGCAAGGATGGATGGTGTTCACAGAGAATCCTAATGACTAGGGAGGTTGCATGGTTTTCTCATGGTTGTAGACTGCTGTTCTATATTTGGTTTGGTCTCAGAATTTGGCCTCTGAGCTTGACATTCTTCTATTTGAGGCACAAGAAAGGCTTCCTGTCTGTTGGCTGGGAAGGAAAGTGCTTGCTTAGTACTGGTGCCAACTCTGCTTTGATTTGAGACCTGCACTGATGGATCTTTGAACATGTGACCATCCCATTGCTATTTGATTCACGAAAAGTTGAAAAAGGAGAAAGAAATTCTTAAGCCACAAAGCCCAGGATACCGTTCCCACTCTTCTCCATATGGGGCAGCAGGTTCTGAATCACAGCACGGCTATGCTAAGAGGTGAAGGCACAGCTGTAATTTTAAAAGTCAAACGCTATCTTTGTTATTAACTACAGGTTTAATAAATGCTGTCCAATGATTGACTCTATGTCTTATCAAATGGGTTTACTTTTTTTTTTTTTTTTTTTTTTTTGATCCGGGGATAAAATTCACAACCTCGTCCTCTCCGGACAGGCGCTTGTGCTGCTGAGCGCTCTCCCCAGGCAGAGCTGTATCCCCAACTCTCAAAAAAGTCAGGAGCACTGAAGGTTCACGGGTTTGGGAATCAAGCTGGCTGGGGCTGAAATCTTGGTGCGAGCCCAGAAGTAACTTTACCTCTCTGAAACTCAATTTCTCTACTGCTAAATGGGTGTGACGCAAATATAACTGCTCGGCTCTGATCTTGAGGGATAACTATGTGTGAAGGAAAGTAAAAAGACATAAATCTGTGAAAAATTAAAATAGAATATAGTAGACAGTATTTATTTGAAACTGGGACATTTTTGAAGTACTGGGCAGTGGTAATTGATAGCTCTCTGTTTTCTTTCTCTTTCTCTCTTGCTGACAAGTAAAATAGTGCCAGTGATTATATCTCTTTGGTAGAAGAGACTACATTAGATAAAAATGGCAGATTCTGTATTGAGGTTTGCCTAGAAGACAGTGTAAGTTACACTCCACACACCAGAACTTTGAAATGTCTACTCTTGGCCCAGATTTTCCTTCCCTCTGTCGTGTCCTTGACCCCTTCCTCTGTGCTGGTGCCCTGCCAGCCCTGGCCACCTCTTTCCCACCAAGTCCCTGACTGACCTTCTCCACTTTCTCTTTGCTTTCCTGACACTCCTAATCTGTCCCCTCTCTCCAGTCACTTGGGGTCTCTATGTCTTTAATTTTTAAATTTTATTTAATTTTTGTTTTGTTTTGTTTTTGAGACAGGATCTCACTACGTAGTTCAGGCTGTTCTCGAACTCATTGTGTAGCCTGGTCCAGTCTCAAACTCAGGGCGATCCTTCTGCCTCAGCCTCCTGGGTGCTGGGGTTACAGACACGTGCCATTACCCTTGGCAGTCTTTATTCCAATTCAGCTTTGTCTCTCTCCATTTTTCTCTATATCTTTCTTTTTCTTTTTCTTTTTTTGTTTTTTTGTCTTTTTCCTTTTTATCGGTACCGGGGATCGAACTCACAACTGCCTGCTTGCAAGGCAGGCGCTTATGCCGCTGAGCTAAACCTCCAGCCCCTCTGTATCTTTCTTTAATTCTTCATTTCCCTTTCCCAGGAACATCCATCAAAGAAAATGAAGACTTAGGAATCTGTTTCTTAGAAGGCAAAGAGCAGGAAGACAATTATAAATACTTAATATCTTGTGGCTTTATGGATAATAGTATCTGCCTCTTGAGGTTTTTGTGAGCATTAAAAGAGATTGGGAATATAAAACACTTAGCAAATTGCTGGCACGTGTTAAGAATTCAGTAACTATTAGCCGTCATTATTTACTATTCTTTTATAAATGATTGTGCCATCCATATTGTAATAAAAAAGAAGGGGAATAAAAGACGGAGAATCAACCCTGTCTCAACACTGGATTTTCCTAGTAACCCTAAGTTCCTTGGTGAAATTTTCATTTTTGTTCTTCTCTTGTGACACAGCGTTCTTCGGAATCCAGTCCATAAATGGAAACATGAAGGGAAGTCGCCGTGAATTTTTAATGCCTTCTAACATGTAGCATTCTGTGATAATTTTAGATCCCTGTGGAGAGGAAGTCACGGTCATCTCCTGCCGGTCTCTACTCTCTTTCCAGAAGAACATTCTGCAGGAATTTTTTTCAAAGAAAAAGGAATGCTACTATCTATTATGCTCCGGAAGTACCCAGAGCACTGTAAAGAGAAGCGGTCACATTTACAGGCATTTTTGTTCCCAGTACCGGTGATGGAACCTGGGGACTTCACACTGAGCTATGTGTCCAGACACTTTTTTAAATTTTGAGGCAGGGTCTGGCTAAGTTGCTGAGTTGCTGAGTTGCTTGGGCGGGGCTTGAACTTGTGATCCTCTTGCCCCAGCCTTCCAGAGTGCTGGCATTAGGGTTATCATTTTTACAAAGGGTTTCCTGTTTCTAGTTAGGAAAGATAAAGCAGTTTGAACAGTGCACTGTGGTCTCCGTTATCATTTCCCATTCCCAGTGCAGGCTTTGAAGAGACTGCCCCAAAGGCTGAGACCAGAAAGCAAACCCTGATGTGGACTGAACGATACCCCAGTGAGTGTGGAAGGCCTAATTCCCGATGCCATAGCATTTGGAGGTGAGGCCTTTAGGAGATGACTGGGACCAGGCAAAGCCTTGAGGGCCTGGCGAACTGAATAGAGGAGACCGCAGAGAGCGGCTTCCTCCCCAAAGAGCCGCTTCCATGAGCAGACACCCAGGAGTGGCCGCCCCATGGCTGGGAGAAGAGGTTCAGAATGAAACTAGCAGCTTGACCTTGCGCTTCTAGCTCCCACAACTGTGAGAAATAAATGTCTGTGTTTAAACCACTCACTCTCTGGTACTTACCATGGCAGTTCAAGCTGACTCAGGCAGGTTAATGCCCTCCTATAATCAAAGTCAGCAAAAGGGTTGATGTGGAGGCTCCTGAGACCAGCTTCTGCATGTGCAGGACAGCCTCTTATAGTAGTTTTTAAATTATTTGTTTATTTATTTATTTATATTTTGCTGTGTAGCTCAAGCGAGCCCCAAGCTTACAGCTAGCCTCCTGCCTCAGTTTCCGGAGTGTTGGGATTACAGGCAAGCGCCACCACCTTCAGCCTCCTAATGTGGTCTTGTTACTAGAATTCTGGGGTCAGGTCCCATGGGGACAAAAATGAAACCATGGACAGAGGAGACAGCATGCAAGCAGATTTATTTAAAAGATATAAAGGCAAAGAAGTAAAGCTCCTGACGGCTGGGTGGAGGTTCTGAGTAGGATACCCAAGAAGGCCATTTGCTTAGGAGTTTCTAAGAGGTTTAGAAGGGAGCTTGGGCCATGGTATAAGCATTATACTCTCCGCCCTAAAGGGGACTGCATACTTTTTAGGGTCCAATCTGTGCAGTGTTCATGCAGCAGCATCCATGTACCTTTTGAGCCATGCTCAAAGAGGATCCCAGGCTGCCCAAGGACACCTGGCAGATGTTTGGTGAGATCCCTGAAGGCCCATGACTCAACAGACTCCATTTGGGAGCTGCAGTCTTTACCACCTAATACAATTCTAACTCTTTTCATATTAATTTTTTATATTAATTTCTGTTCTAGTGTGATATCTGAGTCTTGAACGAAGGGACAGATATGTTTGCAATGTTGTAGAACCAAAGGAAGTCTTGATAAATCTCACAATTAGGACATCCTATTTTTAGGATGGTTGCACTATTCAGCATACCTGTTCCTTGATTTCTTTGGGCTCCCAGTGGCAGGGGTAATGGCTTTCCCTCCCATGCACTGCATTGGGCTGGCCCTCGGGGCTGCAGCACAGACCCTTTCTGATCCCCTAGGTCCCTTAAGTATTTGTGAGGAATGGGACAGAAATCCCTGGTGTCACTTCTGGGAAATCAGGGTCTCTCCCCTAGAGGGAGATTCTTAATCTATGTAACTCTTCTTTAGGCTCTGAGAGGAAAGGATAAGATGATAAATTTAGAAGCAATTTCCTGGGAAGCCATATGACATAGAAAGCACCCTCTTCCCTCTCTCCAGTGTGCTATATTTGAATTGTTCTCTCTGTGAGAGATGGGAGAGGAAATTTGTGCTTTTTAAAACAAGAACCAAAGCTAAACATGATAGTACAAGTGCCTGTAATCCCAGCACTTGGGAGGCTGAGGCAGGAGGATCACCATGAGTTTAAAGCCAGCCTGAACTACACAGTGAGACTCTGTCTCCAAAAATACCTACTTGCATATGCGTATACGTACATAGGTATGTATATGCCAACTGCTGCTATTTTAGAGAAGTGCCTTATTTTGCACATAAGGGCTGAATTTAGGAAAATACTTTGCTGCTTTCTTGGGCTATTGGCTGTGGGTACCCCCTTAGCCTGAGAGGCTACATGTAGAGGGCATTTGGAGGTCACCTGAATTGTCCTGCCCAGGAAGATGGAAAAATATTTTGAAATCCTTAAAACGACCTTAGAAAGAGTTACTAGAGAAAGAAGGGACTAGGGAGAGGATTAGACAGAGCAAGAAATCAGTTAGAGTCCGGTGGGCAGCGTGAGTGAGAGCTAGTGAGACGCTCGCAGAGGCAGGAAAGTGGACAGCTGAGCATCAGCTGTGAGCACCTGGAAGACGGCAGCCACGCAGTGCCTCCAAGTCCCCCTCCCCAAGCATTGCCAAGATCTCCTGCAGCCCAGTGTGTGACAGCCACACCTGTCACCCAGCTACTAGAGAGGCAGAAGCAGGACTGAGAGACAGTGCAACTCCCCAGGGCTGAGGACCTTGCAGCTGACCTCTGAGTCATGGAGTAAAGTGTGCTTTGGCTCTGAAAGACACAGGTTTCATCCAGCTGCTGGCCGGAGAGGGGCCCAGGAGGAGGAGGAGGATGTGCGTGACTGGCCTCTGTGGTCCTGTGGTCTTCCCTATCTCCATTCTGGGGGAAAAGTGACACTTCAGCTCCCAAAACAGGGTCAAAGTCTGAGGGCAGCATCTCTCGATGTTCTTGTGGTCTAACTGGTGCTGGCAGCCCAACAGGATGACTGTGTGGATGTGAAGCGCGGGAGGGACTGCAAGAGACTCCATGGCCTTCAGAGACGGCCACTTACATCTCAGGGACAGGGCATGAGCGGGTAGCACTGTGACTGCGACAGGGTCAGCAGGGCCTGCCTTGTGCACCTGGCTGTTTTTATGCTTCTGGAATCCCTTCCGCTTACTTCCTCTCTGTTAGATGTAATTTTCAGTAAGGTAAGAATATAACTATTAAAGGATAAAAATACAACAAGTTAGTGTAAATGTCTCAATTGGCTTTATCTGTGATTCTGGAATCAAAGGACACTCCTGCCTGCAAAACAGAGTAAGCATTTCCAATGAGAAGAACAAAAGCAGAAACAAAGAACAAAGAGCAGATTGTTTATTTCAGAGACATTTTCCTCATATGGAGGGGACAGG